GGACTCTATGAAGCCATGGGTGACATCGGAAGAGGTTGGGAGTGGAGGTGGTGCATGCGACACTATGCAAGCAACTTGAAAAAGAAGACAAAAAGCAAAATTATGTATAACCAATTGGTTCGAGTCGGTAAGTCTCTTCATCGTTATTGATTGACACTCCCACATATTATTTATTTTAATTTAATATTATCATGAATTTATCTAACTCTTGTGGTTATTTATTTTGTTAGCCCGAGAAAAACGCTTGGAGAAGTTCGATCGTCAAGTTGAGCAATTTAAGAAGATGGCCACTGAAAGAAATATTTCTTGTGATAACTGGGTGGATCAAAATCAAATTCGTTGGAGTTTAGCACATGATAACTATAATGGTGGGACTCGATGGTCTATGATGACGACCAACATGGCAGAGAGCATCAACGGTGTTTTCAAAGGTATTCGTTCACTTCCTATAGCTTCTCTTGTGCAACATACTTATTGGCGATTATTGGAGAAATTCGATAAGATGAGGTTGGAGACAGAAGCACAAATCAGAAGTGGACCTTCACAGTACACCATCAAGTGCGAAGAGAAGATGAAGACATGGTCACAAAAGGCAGTGGGACATTCCGTGACGGGGGTTGATCGACGTCAGGGCATCTATGTAGTACATACTCCTCCCAACAATTTCAACATGACGGGTTCGAACACACTCACAGTGCATTTCGATGAACCCAACCGAGCGGGATTTTGCACTTGTGGGAAATTCCAAGGAAATAAAATTCCTTGCTCTCATGCCATTGCAGCTTGCAACCGAATGGGTTGCAACCCGTATATGTTTGTAAATGACATCTATAAGCTGGAAACGGTGTTGGCTTGTTATGGGACAAGTTTCACACCTCTTCGACGTATATGTAATGGGTTGATGTTGTTATGGTTTGAACGTGCGAGTGTGTAATTGTTTGATGTTTGTTATTGTTTTTCGACGTATATGTAATGGGTTGATGGTGTTATGATTTGATGTTAGACCACCATTTTATTTCATAATCATACATGACATGAAATAAATAGTCCACCATCATACATAATAATCCTACTAAACATGAAATAAATAGTCCAACATCATACATAATAATCCAACATGACATGAAATAAATAGTCCACCATCATACATAATAATCCTACATGACATGAAATAAATAGTCCAACATCATACATAATAATCCAACATGACATGAAATAAATAGTCCAACATCATACATAATAATACTAACGACCTCCACCACGACGACCACCACCAAGAGGATCAACAAGATGACCGCCAGTACCACACAACGGTGCATGTCTGTCCCGTACTGGCCTGCCCTGATCGTGCTGAGACTGATCACCGTCATCCTGATCTCCGTGTGACTGCACGTCTAGTAACATCTCGATACCACTCGAGATGCTCCGAGTGGTAGGCTAGAGTCTCTTGAGTATATGGCCTAGTCGCTATATACTCATGTCGACGACTCCACAAATCAATCGACTCTCTATTGGCGTGCATCAATCGCTGCCCTCGCGATGGCCCACGAGCTGTCTGGCGAAGAAACCACCTAATCTCAGCCTCAGGAGCTGGGTGATGAGGCTCGTTCTGCATCATGCCAAACTGTCGGAGTACCCGATCTGGATGGTGCCACATCACTACTGAAAAGAAGATCAGTGGAACCACAGCTCGGAAGGTATCTGACTGGGGAACGGAACCCCTAAACTGCAGGTCTCTCTCCCAGTAAGGCAGCCACTACACAGAAAGGTGGGCACATTATTACATCTAAGTCTAAAACAAACTAATGTGAACCAAAAACTATTCTGGTTTTGAAATGTTATTACTAACCACGATCGTCTCCAGCTCGTCAAAAAACAACTTATAACTGAAGAGCTGGTCACCATGCTGACGGGTCATTGCCGGAAGCCATCGAGCACCACGTGGAGATGCGTCCGCTGTAATAGGCTCATCCGTCACTGTATGTCGGGGTGCTATCAATGGGAATCGCTCCCACGCCCAGAGCTGTAGCAAGGCGACCCAGCCACCAAGGTCACCTCCGGTGGAAGAGGACTGCGTCAGATGCAGAACCGACCTACCCATCTCACGGTACAGGTAGGCTAGAACAGCTGCTCCCCAAGCGTAGCCTCCTGCGGTCCGCCAATTCTCCAATAGGAGTAGATACTGCAGGTGAACTGTAGCTCCAGTCCGATCGGGGAACATCATAAACCCAATCAAAGATAGGGCATACGCTCGTGCAAACTGCCCTGTAATCTCTGCTGATGCATTTGGCGGCAGATTGTTGAAATGCTCCCTAAGCCAACTAAGCTTAACGACACCCCCGCTAAGATCGTTAGGAGCATGTCCTAACAGTCTGGTACACGTCTCCGACCACTCACGATCTGGTACGTCTACTATGACGGCCTCACCGTCAATCGGTAAACCGCTCAGTGTGGCAACGTCCTCAAGAGTGATCGTCACCTCACCGACCGGCATGTGAAAGGTCGATGTCTCAGGACGCCAACGCTCTACTAGAGCGGTGATCAAAGATGCATCTATACAACCAGTCATAGGGACCAACTGCTGAATGCTAAACAAACTGGCATCCTGAAGATACGGCTCATAACGTGGATGGTACGTGACCAATTTGGTCGTACCACGAGTCTGGTAAACACGATCACCAGCCTATAGTGCACAAAACTTATATATTCAATTTCATGGCATAATTCTATTTTCAAAACATATTGTAAAATCTATCTAATTTACTAAAAATATATGTAATGAAAACTAATACTAATCTCACATGCAATTATAATATTTCAGTTGACCTAGTAATCATTTAGTAAAATATATATAATCAAACTAATACTAATTTCACAATATTCTAATCTAATTAGCTAATGAACTTTAATGAAATAAAATACATAAAATACTTACCTCGTTAATCCAAACTGAGTCGGCACGATGTTGACCATGTGCCCAAAGGAGTACTGAATCGACCGGAGCTGTATCTATCGTCGCAGGTGGTCGTCTCGTAGAATGCCTGTCAAGAATCCTAGGAACTGCAAAAAAAAAAAAAAAAAAAAAAATTAGAAGCAGAAAATAAAATCCCGCCGGCAGCGACTTTCCGGTCGCCGGCGGCGACTTTCCAACCGATGCTTACTTCGGTACCGCCCGCGTGCTTGCTGTCCTCCTCTTCCACGGCCTCTTCCTCCGGCGGCCGCCTGTTCTTCGTCGGAGTCCGACATCACCAGAAAAACAGATCTGGTTCTGCTCGGCGTCTCTACTCTGCTGCGCTTCCGCGTGACTCTCGACCGAATCCGCGCTAGTCCGGTGCGAATCCGCCTTGAAAATGTGGGTTTTGTGGCGGTGGGCGAGCGGGGCGTGGCGGGGCGGCGATGGATGGGGCGGGGGGTTGGGGGCGGGGCGGTGGGTTCTGGGAGAGAAAGGCGCTGCGGAAGAAGGGGTGGAGAAGAAGATAAGAAGAAAGAACTTTATGCGAACCTGCAGGAGTCCTCTGCGGGTTCCTTCTTCTTATGCGAATGCGCAGGAGTCCCATGCGGGTCCGCACCTCTTTCCCCAATAAATCGAGACTCCTGCGTGTCCGCACCTCTTTCCCCAAAAAACACAATATCTATGTAAATAAATTTAAAACCACCATATTGGTGGTAAATTGAAAAAAAAAACACAATATTTTGGGAAATAACCTAGCTTCTAAAGGCTTTAGCTAGGCTTGAGGGCTTTTAAAGCCAAAAACACTAGCTTTTACACTTTGGATCCTCAAAATATTGTAGTTTTTGTTCCAAAAGCATTTGCCCCAAAAGTCAAAGTAAAAGCGCTTAACCACACCAAAAAGCTTAGAAACTAGCTTTTAAATCTTTTTTATGGAGTCTTGCATTCAGGTTTTAGGGCCATATTGCGTCAGTTTTTGGTTGTTTTGTTGGCCAAAAAATACGAAAACAATACGGATTTTTTTAGTCGAGTTATCCTTTCAGTTTTTCCTTCTATAAATTCCTCATGCTTAATTCATCATTGCTTTTCCTCCATTCTCCTCTATGCTTCTAAAACCAGCTTGCTGCAAACCTTCTAGATTCATTATTTTTCGTTGGTTGCCTTTAAAAAAAAAGCAGCAAGAAGGTGGTGAAAGCTAGTTTAAGAGTATTAATTTGGTTTGTGTAAGAGTGAATTTTTAAATATGAGCTAGTTTACTTATTTATTCTAATTAGAAGATTCTTATCAAACTTATGGAATGTTTAGCCCTACGAGATGCCTTACAGTGGTGTCTAACTCATTCCTTTCTTGCTGTTCATTTTTATGGGGACTCTCAACTCTTGATTCGCCGGATGCTTGGAGGTGATGTGCTTCATGTTCGGGGTGGTGCTATTTTGGAGGACGCTAGGAGCTTGGCCTCTTCTTTCAGCAATGTTTCCTTCTGTTTTGTTTCTCGTCAACTCAATAGGGCTGCCCATCATGTGGCACAAAAGGCCCTCTCATCGGGAGTTCGACTATTGGTCGACTCCCGCGCTTTTCTTGTTTCCCATGTGTGACTTTCATTTTACCAACTGACTTTGGAAGAAAAAAAAACATCGCTTTTTGCCTTCATTTTTACTCATCATTTCGCTTCTATCTGAAAACTAGACTTTGACAGCAGGTGACAACAAAGATACGTAGAGTTTTAAGGAGAAGGATTATATTATGAAATGAGAACTTCTACCATGGATCTCAAATGTTACATCAAACATCCAAACGATAATGACGTTTCATGATATGAACGAACGAACGACGACCATGGATCTCAAGTGTTACATCAGGTATCCAAACTATAATGACGTTTCATATGAACGAACGACGGTATAGAGTTTTTAACAATGAAGCAAGATCCATCAGTATTTTTTAGAGCAGGGAAGAAATCATAACTAAAGATGTGTTCATTGTGCCTAACCTTTCTAGCTCAAGGAATTCCAGCCTTCCAACGTGGTTTGGTACAATTGATTAATGGGGACCAAAAGAAGGGAAAATATTGATAAATAAATAATTAAACTCGATGTAATAGATACAAAAAAAAAAAAAAGGAAAGCTAAATTGAACTCCCAATCTTTCCCTCTCACTGAAACCTGCCTGATCTTTACATACAATTGTGGCTGTAATCCAGAATCTAGAAACTAACGACAAGTAAATCTCAACTAGACATAATTAGCTACTGACTAAGTTTGTGATTTACCATACCCGGGCCAAAGGAACAGGTGGTCTGCCTGGATTATTTTCCTGCTGGTCTGAATGTTGAGTCTTGCATCATAGCCACGAATTCGCTGTAGTCAATGCGCCCATCCTAGAACAGAGACCAAACAGATGTCAACAGTATGGTTTTCCTGCTAAACTAACCATACTTGAGCCTTGAAATAACAGCTTACATTGTCTTGGTCAACTTCATTGATTATGTCCATAATATGAAGATCCCCCAAACCAAACTGCTCACAGGCCTGTTGGAGCTCGTCAGCAGTAATGTAGCCGCTCCCGTCTTTGTCAAAGTATGAGAATGCTGTAAACAGATGATCTTCCTTCTGTATTTTGTTCAAGTGGATCATTGCAGCTATGAACTCTCCATAGTCAATCGTGCCACTGTTATCAATATCAGCCTGTGTAACATTTCACAAGATATTGCACAGCTTAATCAGATTATCAAGAGTATAAAATATGAGAGAAACAACCACATTGAAGAATACAGAACTTACTGCTTGCATCAACCCGACAATTTCACTCTCCTTGAGATTAGCACCCACTTTTTCCAACCCGTTCTTTAGTTCCTCGAGAGTGATATTTCCACTATTATCCGCATCTATCATTTTGAACATTTGTCTCAAGCCTGCAATTTCCTCTTCAGACATGCTTTCAGCAATAACCTGAATTTATGTAAAATGCCTTTTTGATGAGCGATCAGATGCCGTAAGTCAATACTCAAGATAGAGAACTGGCCAATAGAGTGGAGGAAGACATTCAAGCATGAACTGATAAATACATAACAGTAAAATGGGGTCAACCCTCTTGGGGAGTCAACTTATAGATCAAAAGGTGCCTCTGCCTCAAATTGATGTCCTGAAAAAGCTACTAATACAAACCATACTATGATCTACCATGGTTGAGGATTCAAAGTACTCACCCGTATAGCAATTTTCTTCAGCTTGTTCATGGCTGAGAACTGTTTCAAGCGACTTATAACAGCAGAATCAAGAGGCTTATCTGGAGCAAGCCCATCCACTTGTACCCAAGGGTGGCCTACACAGAGAATCAAAGGAGAAAAGAATATCATTGGCATTCTTAACCCAAGACAAGAAATGATGTATAGCAAACATGTTGAGTTTACCTTCTTAGACTCTTTCTATTGCTCACCAAATATAAATCACAATAACAGTCACAAGACCGCTCAATTACTTTCCCCTCTTAATTAAGCTTAATATTTCCAGGATACCAGTTCCTAAAGGTGTGAGTTAATATTTTTAAGCAAACAGATTATTAAAGAATGCAACGAGCAACTTCTGGCATTCAAGTGATGATACTAAATTTCAGCAAAGCCAACAACAAAGGAATTGCATTGCATCTTCATCGACTGAAAATTAACGAATAGAAAAATGGAGCAAAAAGTGAGACTTGCAGTAACCTGCAAATTTTTTAAAACTGAGATATAAAACATAGTAAAGATGAAAATATGCATGCTCACAGAGAACTTCATGGGCTGTTAGGCGCTTTTTAGGATCTCTAACAAGCATCCTTCGAACTAGGTCTTTAGCACCCTCTGATATGTTTGGCCATGGTTCGGAAACAAAATCTAGGTCGCCTTTCAAAACCTGTTCAAATATTCCTTGCTCCGTTTCTGATGATCCCAAGCACCAATCAAAGATACTATGGAGTTAGATGCAACCAAATACATTAACTAGAAAATTAGCTGAAGTTCACAAATAAAAGAATCTCACCATCCCAAAATGGTGGGACTCCACTCAACAAGATATATATGATAACACCAGCACTCCAAACATCACATTCGGCGCTATAATGCTTACGCAGCACCTCAGGTGCTACGTAGTAGGGGCTCCCAACAACATCAGTGAACATTTCACCTAGTACAACAATAAAAACCAGCACCTCGATAAGGAAAATTAATCTCGTTCAGATGCGCTTCAAGAGATTCAAATGCGCAGAGGAAAGCACAGACTGATTAAGGATTAGTTCCACAACTGTTGTAAGTATGTAAAAGAGACAACCAAGAAGTATGCACCAGGCCGAAAGAACATGGAGAGCCCAAAGTCGATTGTCTTAAGCGTTGCATCCTCTCTCTGATTAACAAACAGAAAGTTCTCAGGCTTCAGGTCCCTGTGCATAACACCCAAAGAATGGCAAGCTTCCACAACACCAACTATCAGCCTAGCAAGCTCCGCTGCCTTTCTCTCCGTGTAGTGCCCTCTCTGAATGATTCTATCAAAGAGCTCCCCACCTCCACAAAGCTCCATCACGACATGAACTGCAACTGCATCCTCGTAAGCCTCTATGATCTTGATCACATTAGGATGCCCTTCCAAGTGGTGCATAATCTGAATCTCCCTCCTAACATCCTCCACATCTTCCTGGGTGGTCAACTTCCTCTTCGCAATCGATTTACAAGCAAACTCCTTCCCGGTTGCTTTCTCAATGCAAAGGAAAGTGGTGCCAAACTGGCCTTGCCCTAGCTTTTTCCCCAGACTATAAATCTCCTTCAAGTTTCCTGTTTTCCTCCCTAACACTGATCCTACTTGGAGCCCTGCACTAGAACACCTCTTCACATGTGCGGGTTTCTTCGGCTTGGCTTCCTCCCCTGGCTTGTTAGTAATGGGAACATCTCGCATTTCAGGTTTGATCGATTTCTCATGCACCATTGGTTTCCCTTGGCCATCGTTCCCCATCTTGACTGTAGCAGGTGGGGTGTTTGGGGTTGGACCATCGGAATTCTTGGATCCTTCAGAATCTTCACCTTTGGAAACGTCTTTCTTGCTGGAGCCTTCTTTTTTGCTACTGCCTTCGTCCTTGTTAGGAGCAGGAAGACGGTCGTCTGGTCGCCGGGGACGCCACACAGCAGCAGTAACAGACTGTATGAATCCATTAGAGCTGATATTTGGTCCTGCGCATGTGTTCCCCATCAAGAAAACCAAAGACCCCTGACCTTATATCAGGTCCTGACTAGCTCTCTCCTCGGAAATATACCAGCATCCAAATCAAATTTACCGGGAAATTTTATGGCCGTTGATCCCATTCACGATGACAACGATCTGGCGAAAAGATGGAGAAGACGAAGAATCTTGCAGAGATTGCGTGCGCACGTGAAGACACTTACAATATCCCGGACTTTTGGTTCCAAACAATCAATCGTTTGGAAACCCTAATTCCCTAATTGCCAAAATCATTGCTTCTCGATGAACCAGCCTGATAGATCAGATTCAGACGAAGCTCTTTACCTGGCTATGGATGGAAATTCTTCTTTTCAAGGATGAATCGCGATTCGGGATCAAACTCCGACGGACATAGGAAGAATCCTATCTGGAGAAAGCAAGCTAAATGTAGAAAGGAAAAGAGAGAAAGGATTTTGGCGATTTACCGTCGCGCTTGATCGGGAAAATGTGGATGCGATACCGTGGGAAAGAGGGGGGACAACACACACACAGACACTGAGAAAACTGGGGAGAAGATGTGATTTCAAAGTTCGTCGATTGGAGCCATTTCGCAGGGAAGCAGCAGGTGGAAGAGTTTGTTTGCAAGAACGGGAGAGTTTGATCGCCGGGCTCATCAAAAATTTAATTATCGTTAATTACCTGATTTACGAAAGCAAAAGGGAATTTTCATGCGTCAACTAATTTTCAAAAAGAAATCAATAATTTTCTCAAATGGAACTTTGTGGGAACAGCAGACCGACCGAACCTTCTGTGCGCGCCAAACATAATATAATAGTAATACGAAAATTGTTCAAACTCGGCAGCAGTGGCCCGCTTGTTAGAGATGACAACAAAACCCGAACCCACGAGTACCCACCCGATCCAACCCGGTCAACGCAGGTAAAATCTGGTTGATGGATTTTGGGCCGGGTTTGGGTTTAAACACGTTCACTATTCACCGGGTTGGGTTGAGTTTGGGTTTAGGTAAACCCGGCCCGTGGGTACTCGCTCATCCATATAATTAATTTTTTCGGTATATTTAGTAATCTAAACAACTAATCTTATTTATATTTGTGGAGACATGTCTAATTTTTTCTTTTTAATTGTGTAGAATGAAGTTGATGTTATGGAGTAGAGAGTAAAGAAACTTAATTGAAAGAAAGAAGCTTTCAATTAAACATGTTATTTATGGATAATTTGTGATTTGCTTCAATTTTCTTGAGTTTTCTAGATTGGTGTTGAACCATTAGTATAGTTAATTTGTGATTTGCTTGAATTTTCTAGAATGGTGTTTTATATATGGATAATTTGTATTGAGAGATTGATATTTGACTTTAATTTTGATAAGAACTTGTAATTGTAAATTTTTTACGACAAAACCCGTGGGTACCCATGAACCCGCGGATACCCAACGGGTTGGGTTGGGTTTCAGTTTTTCAAACCCAGTGGGTTTTACCCCGGATTTTTTTCAAAGATAAACCCATGGGTTTGGGTTTGGGTTTGGCAAAACCCGACCCATTGCCATCCCTACCGCTTGTCAAGTATTTGGGCTTCGCCTCATTTGCCCAAAGTAGTTGAATCTGTTTCTATCGTTGTGTTCTGTCTAGGGGTGGAAGTTAGGGCTCGAAATTTAGACCAACCCGTATGGGGAACCACGGTCTAGATCGTGTCGTATGGTTTGGTCTGGACCGTGAGAACAGAGTTATGGTTTGGTTTGGTTTGCGGTCTCCTCCTTTAGTATATGGCCTGAAGTAATCTGGACCGCGCAGTAAATCGCAACAGACCGTGACACATTACCTACTAACTCAGACCAAAATAACACTAAATTAAATCTACATTTATTTATGTATTTAAAGAACAAAGCTAGTTGATTCTTCGTAAAGTTGAGAGCCAACAGATTTCCAAATGATCGCTTATGCATTATCTCATTATCAAAGAATCACACAAAAACCTGAAAGATTCATAAATAATATTTACCGACAATGTCTAGACTATGGAGTCGATAAAACAAAACACTAGAGAAATTCATTCACCTTAATGAGATAAGAAAAATTATTGAGAGATAAACGACTATCTTAGTGGTTCAAAACGACCTCGACGTCATCACGAAGGTGATCGACCGCGAGAACCTTCGGATCATCCGAGAGAGGGAGAGAAGCGGTAGCACAAAGAGGAAGAGGGAAACAAGGCTATTTGATGTGTGTTTTTTTAATAGATACGAGATAGAGCCGCGGAGACTGGAGAGAGTTTGAAAATTGAAAAAGCCCACTTCTCTCCTCATATATTTCTTCTCATTTTAATTACGGTCACTAAATTTTTGTTTCACTAGCATATTGGTCGCTGAAATTTTTATTTTTGCAGATATCGACGAAGGGTTGGAGGACGGAATAAGAGTGAATATTTTTAACATGGTTTGTCTGGTCCCGTACCGGACCGCACCGCACATGCTTGGTCTGGTATGGACCGAATAGTATATGATCTGGTCCATGGTTTATGTTCCAGCCTCTCAGACTAGACCACAGACCGTGTCTATGGTTTGGTCCAGACCGCACCGTTTCCCACTCCTAGTGAAAATTGGGCTGGTTGTGGTTATCGACCCACATTTTGTGGTACCCACACCAATAAATTTACAAATATGCTATCCACACCTCGCACTTGAGTGGTTAGTGGGTTACCACTACCCACTGTGGGTTGGTGCGGGTTGGGTGTGGTCACCCGCAAAAATCCATCTTTATAAGTATGGAGTTGAGACCGCCAGGAACGTATTTGTCGTTCGTAGCTAGATTATAGTGATATACAATTGTGTTATTAGTGCAGATACAATTTTGTATATCGATCTTACTCAACATGGAGATCTTTTCTTTTCGAGTTTGGTATTCAATTTTTGTGTCATGGAGTTGCGACTTCATATTTCACGACTAGTGGTGGAATATGAAAATTAAATATGATCTTGTATTTTCTTTCACATAAAAGCAAAAATATACAGAAAAAAGTTACTAAAAGTGTTTACTTTTAATGAATTGATTATTCTCCACTCTCTCGATTATAGTGTTTTATAAACTAAAAAAAATCTCATATAAAAATGTTTAGACTGTACGTATTTGATTTTGGTGGCTACTTTAATTTTTAGCGTTCCATTTTTCACATACTATTGTATTATAAAGTTAATTCAAAGTAAAAATATCTTGTTGCCAGATCAGGAGTTCTTGGTTCAGATTATGTGTGTAGGGGCTATGGGAATCCAAGATAAATATCTAGGTAGGGGTGGGCATCCGGTTCGGGTTTGCATTTCCGAGGCGAACCGACCCAAACCTGAACTGACCGGAACCGAATTTAGTGCTATTTGGATCGAAATTCGGAAGGGGAAACCTGCCAATTAGGAATACAGGGTCTTGCCGACCGAACCGGAATTTCGAATTCCGAATCGAAACCCTAACATATAGATTCAGCCCACTCCCTTGGCCCAAACCAATCCCCCTGGGCCCTCACATCCCACCCTAATAATCTCTGGACCCTCACAAACTGGCCCAATCCACATATTGGGCTTAATAAACACTCCCCACTTGCTAACCCTAACTCCCCTAGCCCACCCCACCCCTGCTTTCTTCTCCTTCCTTCCCCCCTCTCTCTGCGCAGCCACCACCCCCACTCCCCAACAGTCCTTCCACTTCTGCTTTCTCTGTCATCTCGACACAACACCCTCTCCTATCTCCCGTCCTCGCCGACTCTCATCTCTCGTCGCGCCTCTCTCATCTCCCGCCCTCGCCAACTCTAATCTCTCGTCGTTGCATAATTTGTGTCGGCTGCTGCAACAAGTACTCGGGTAAAGAAAAGTGGTCGGTGGCGGAAAGCGAAGGAGGACGAAGTCCAGTCGGCCGGAGACTGATAAGTTCCAAATCTACCAGAGCTCGGTTTGTCGGGTTTTTCGATTCCGAACCAACTATATTTAGGTTTGGCCAGCCCAAACCGAAATACAGTTCGGTTCGAAATCGGTTTGCCCATTGGGAGTAATAGGGGTACCGGTATGCTGCTGTTCGGTTCGGGTTGAACCGAACCGAACCGATGCCCACCCCTATATCTAGGTCTACCTACTTTGATAGCCCAGTCCAAAATGAGTATTTGGAGGAGAAATTATTAGAATGACTTAAAGGGTGGAAGCAGAGGACATTGTCTTGGGCAGAGAAGGAGACTCTGATTAAATCAGTCGCTTTAGCCATATCGTTGCATGTTATGTCATGTTTCATGTTGCCTCTCTCTCTTTGTCGTCTCTTGGACAAACATGTGGCTAGATTCTGGTGGGGTGTAGAGGACGGTCAACCTAAGATACGTTGGATGTCCTGGTGGAATATGTGTTGTAGTAAGCATGAAGGAGGTATGAGGTTCCGTAAGTTTAAGCATTTTAACCACGCGCTCTTACCAAAATTGGTTGGCGTATCCTTAATGACCCTCATTCCCTCCTATCCCAGGTTTACAAGGGAAAATATTTTTCGAATGGAACCTTTCTAAGTGCTACTGCCCGCTCTCGTCTGTCTTGGGATTGCCAAAGTATCTTATATGGCCGACAACTATTAGTGATGGGGTTGTGGTGGCAGAGTGGTGATGATCAGTGTGCATCCCTACACCATTCCAACTGGATTCCTCGCTTACTTCCCTTCCCACCTACGTACAATCCTTAGGTATTACCAGAAGGCGGGAACCGAGGGTGGTAGAGGTTCTTTGTCCTAGGGAGGGACGATGGTGTGACCTGAAACTTAGTCAGTGGCTTGATCCGGCTACGTGTAGGGCCATCAAAGCCATTCCTCTACCTCGTCAGGGTAGTGCAGATAGATTGATCTAGCATGGCACGCTTGATGGGCTATTCACTGTTAAATCTGCCTATCATTTTGCTGTCCAATTAGATAGGCATGGTGGTCGATGGAGATCCATGGTGATTTGGATGGATAGGGCCAGCTGGATTCGACTGTGGGAGGTAATATCCCACCCAATTTGAAAGTGTTTGTATGGAAACTCTTCAACCGAATCCTGCCAACGACGGAAGCCCTAATTGAGAAAGAGGTTTAGGTGCTTCCCCGATGTCCAGATTGTTAGGATGAATCTGAAACAATGGAACACTTGTTTCTTGTTGCCTTGTGGTCAGGGCTCTATGGGATCATTCGGAACATGAATATATTGGGCAAGGGCTGCCTCGATATACTTTCCTGCTCTTTCTCAAGAAGTTGATGCTACTCATTAATCAACCTCGGTTGTTTATGGCGGCTGTGACGATCCTTTGGAGGATCTGGAGATCATGAAACTAGGTTGTATTTGAGGGCAAACAGTTTGGCATTTCAGCTCTAATGCGACAGTTCAACCAGAAATACCAGGAGTGGGTTAGCTTGCTAGTTGATCATGGTCTCCAAGTTTACATCCCATTTACTCAGTCTTTGGATGTTGTGCATCCGAGCTCTATAGTTTGCATGCGGTATGGGGAAACTAAAAGTAGATCCCATTCGGCAGAGGGATGATTATTCTGAACCAAGATGGGGAAGTCCTCTTGGCTAAAGGAGTGCAATTTCCTAAGATTGATGATTCTAT